TCTTACCACAAGATTTCTGCTGGTGAATGTTACCAAAGCTCAGTGGATATTTCTCAAACACAAGCCTGTTTCAGTGTGGGAGCAAAAATTTCTCTAAAACTAAAGCCAACTGTCTAACATTTTACCAGAAAAACAATCATTATGTCCAGTCAAGGATAGGCTACTTTCTTCTGACGTGGTTCTAGGGATGGTTGTGTTGGTTGGTCGGTCCACCACTTTGGTCCAGACTACGTATCACAACAGAGAGAATGGATTCATTTTAATCACTTTGGTAATCCCTTAAAATACCTGCACTTCAGCCTCAGCTGTAGTTTGTTTTAAGTGCTTATTAACATATGTTAGCCATGCTATAATTCTAAACTAGATGATGGTGAACATGGTAAGCATTATATCTTCTAAATAAAATGTTTAGAGCCTTGTCATTATTAGAATGCTATGATTTCATTAAGTATAACATGATGCCAAAGTAGGCCTATTCAGTCTCACAGAGCTGCTATTGGCTGCAGACTCTTTGTCTTGTTAGACGGTAAAAGATACTACTGAAAGAAACAAACAGAGGGAACAATATGAACAATATGAGTGAAAACTTCAGTTCATATCTCTTAAACTGTGTGCAGTCAACAATTTGAATCATAATATCAGGTCGGAATATTGGTGCTACCGGGCAATGGCCCTCTAACGTCCTTTGTATATCCCATGTACATTTTTTTATTTTGAAAAGCAAAAATGTAAAATTTGTGTAACAAAATTTTTGAAAATGTTTAATTTAATAGAACTATGATATATTTGTGTGTAAGTTTGTAATAAACCTTTGGCTACATCCAACTCATGATTATATTTAGACTTTTGCACATATATATAGGAAATGATTATAGTGATCCCTCCTTGCTTCACCCATGTTCAGCTATCCACAGATGGTGCAGCAGAAGCCCAATCCAAACCTTAACTCCCCTCCTCCCTCCATTCTTGCCTATTGACGTGATAATGGCTACAAATTGATGAAGCCATTGAGCGTGCCGGTGACACAAGGGTGAGTGGGGACACAAACTCTCCACCACCCAGTAACAGTCATTAATCAGACCTCTTCCAGTCCTTGTCCCTCCCTCCAGACTCCCTGACACACTGCCAGGGGCAGTAATGTAAGACTATGTGTGTCTGTCCCCGTCTGTTGGAGTCCATCCCTGTCTGCCTTTTAATTCTACCTCATCTCTGTATACTTTTTCTCTGTGACTGCATGCTTCTATGTCTTCAGGTCAGCATCAGTCACAACAGTGCAGAAACATTATAAAGAGAGTTTAACTGGAAAATGATTATTTTAGAAAAGAAAAATGCATAGTTTTGACAAAAAATATGACATTGCTAACCAACCATTTGGATAAATGACCTACAAGATGTTACATTTACGTATTTTAACCTTAACTTGGTTTTTAAAACTACATGGTATAAGATAGAACATATGGGAAAAACAAAAATAAAAAATGACCTCCAAATCTAGACCACCTTATTAGTCCTTTATGGCAGGAACACAAAATGAATTTCCTCCAAATGACAGATGGGTGGTTTCATTTAAATCACAGCATAGATTTATGCCAAAGTAAATCAGCAAGCTGGTGGCCAATGTGTTGACATCTACATCCTAAAACTCCCTCACTCAATAATGAAATCAGCCTTGACGCTGTGACAGCTCAATACAGTCAATGCGGTTAACCAACTTCCAGCACACGTAGGACGTGTTTGTAACGTATCACTGAGTAGATGGTTAGAGAGAACAGCCTGAGAAAGGTTTCTGATGTTACACGTCCCTGGAGGCTGCACAATATGCTAATTAAATTACAATAGTAAAGTCCAATATGGCAATATCTCATGGTCAAATATTTTATGTAGCAAGGAGGTTACTTATGGAGATTAAATTAATGGCAGAAAAAAGGGTTTGGAGAAAGGTGGGAGGGAGGGTTGAATGTTGAATTTAGAGATTCATTAGTTCACACTGAACTTTGATCTTGTTGACTCTAGACAGCAGTAAATTCTAGACTTGGAAAAACCCAATGGTAATCATCCAGGGGCATAAAAATGGCAGCTTCCTGGATTCAATATTATTTGGCTTATTTGGATCTCCCCTACAGTGCCAGGTAGTGGCTTTCTTTAGAGAAGCAGGTCAATCGTGCAAGCTTAAAAACCTTTTCTGGGAATATGTAATGTTAATGCATTTAAGCCTGATGAGTAACTGACTGATGAGTAATTAATGCATTTAATATATGCGTAGTCACTAAGAAGATCTCACATCAACATCAAGTATTTAATGGGCAATCTTTACTGTTTTAATAGCATCTTGACCAATTGCCAGAGGACTTCTGGGAGAATATTTCCTCCTTTCAGACCAGTCCAGACAATCAGTGCTTCTAAAGGGAAGTTATTGTTGGCTCACAAGCTGAATTTGACTGACCCCTAGTGTCCAGTGGCAGTGCCAGCTATGTCAGGCCCGTTTGAATTCAGGAGCACAAATAGGCTAAAACTCCACAGTCACGAATCTTGGCCGAAAATTTGATGACGGAAACACAAAAAGATAAAAGAGACTCTTTCAAATTATAAAGTCAGAAATGAAATATGGATTCTGAAAAAATAAAAATAAAAATAAAAATCAATACCAGACTGTACAAACTGTGCTTAAGGAAGTTTGACCTTCGGTAAACAGTATTGTTTTGTTATTTAAATTATAGAAAGAACAAGCTGCGTGCAAAACCATAGACATCCTTATTGATTTGAGCAAGAATAGTACCACCTACACTTTTCAGTGCACTGATTAAAGTGGTTTGGTAACCTGTGTGTGCTTGAGCTGAGGCAACATTACAAAACTTTTAAGCTGGCATCAAAAATAAGTGGTGGCAATCAGCCCAAAGGAGGTTGCAGGAAAACAGCAAATTATCAGACACAAACACTCTTCCAGGTCACCGTTTATCTTGACTGCTACTATCAGGCAAGCACTATCGAAGCATCAAGGTACACACCACTTTTCAAAGACAGCTTTTATCCCCGAGCAATGACTTTATCCCTAGTCAGGGACACATAGCCACAGTGTTGTTGTTTTTTTCCCCTACTCATTCATGAACACTTTCCGTAAGTTGTTTTTTGTTGTAATACTTCACTTTGTTAGTATGGTCTATATTCTGTGTATATGATATATTATTCAGAGGACAGCTAGGGCACAGCTTGAGTACTGGAGTCATTTTAATGCCCTTTCTTCCTTTCTTTTTAAATATTACAGTAGATTATGTTAGCATATTTAAGAGTGGGGTGGTACCAAAGCTTTATTAAGCCCATAAACTCAACTTTATTTTATTATATCATTGAATATAGATGATAATTTCTGGGTAGACAGTAGTAACCTAAGCAGGTGCCAGCATATTTTTCTAAAGTGAATTCCATACCTGTAGCACTTACATTTTTTTCTTTATTGCCTGTATTGCCAGCAGCACTACAGTCCACTGCAACTGATAAGATTTTGGACAGGATGTGAAATCCCTTAAGGAGAATTCCCAGACTCACTCAGTTGTTCGCAGGCTCTACATCTGGCCGGTCCCATGAAACATATTAGCAGTTCTGCTCGGCAACAGAGGCATGTATTTTGAAAATGGTTTCGTTGCTTTACTTAGAAAAACATTTAAGTAAAACAAATAAGTTTTGACTACTGTGTATAGCAATATAACAGCAACATGCTATGTAAAATTTACACAAATGATACTGAAGGCAAAACTTCCCTACAGTTTACAGATTGGGGAATGTATCCACATTCCTGTGGAGTGAAGTCTAAATAATAAATTGCAAATAAGAAAACATCTCTGTAGTTTAAAGGAATAAAGTCATAAGCAAAAAGGTAATATTCTTATCATCTTCTATAAGGAATACTTTATAAAAAGGATCATAAGTTGCAAGTAATGTATTTCAAATTTTTGGTCTTTGGTCACATCAGTAAAAGACAACCTCCTCGTCCTCCACTGCCCTTACTTGCTACTTTTTCTTGTAATGTCATCTAAATTCCACAGGAGGTCACCAAAGACCAATCTCAAAGCAAAGTCATCACATCCCAATTGTTCCAACTCTAGGAGATGCTACTGTATGTTCATCATTCACTAGATAATGCTCATATCATTTTGATCTCTCTCAAATAAAACTCAATTGTATGCTTCAAGTGGCAGTCGCAGATTCCAGCAAATCTAAGGTGAATAAAGCAGATTTGATAAATGTCTGTTATGATTTGGAATAAGATATTTAAAAAAGTAATTCAAATACACAACTGGTCTGCTACAGCAAGACACTTATTGTGTTGATTTGATGCACATCTGCATCACTGTTCTGAATTCTACAGGCTTCGCAGGAGATGGGATTGTGCATTGTACAAGTCCTTTGCACTCCCACTGAGTGTTGGATATCCACTGGGAGGCTGGGACTCCTCCTTTCTTTCCCAGCCTACAGAGTGGTGGGAACCGGGTACTGGGCAGCCCAAAATGGTATGCTATTTTTACCACTCGGTGCTCAATCTGAGGGCTGCTCCCTGGAGACCTGTTGCCGGCAGCTCTCCCCAAGCCGCGGAATTTAACCCTAGGACAGCTCTCCCCAGAGGTGATGGAAAACATCTGGCCAGCTGCTTGACTACAAGGCCTGGTTGTCCAGCCTCACTGCTACCAACCCCCATAAGACTTTTTAGCCCTGGTCCAACTCCCCTGCTGATACTGCTGATTTCCTCACAGAAATGCAAGATTTAATAATCTGATGCACTGATGGCTGATTTCGACTGTTGCCTGCACACCGAGGGTTCCCTGATAAGACCATTCAAAAGACTCAGGACCCACAAAAAAATACCCTAAAACATTATGCATCATACAGTACTGATTTAGGGCCAGAAGTGTAATTCACAGATAGATGTGGATGACTCCCAGAAAAAGTAGCATTGCTGCAATAAATGATTAATAAAATAAGAATAAAGAAGTCACAGAATCCCAGAATAACAACATTTATTATTGATTTTTATTTAATTTAAAAAAGATTACTTGTAAATGTTACACTGAGTTCTACTGAAACATTTCCATCTTCTGTCTCTCAGCACAGGTTAACATTAGGCACACAAGAATGCAGACATCATTTTGCAGTTTTAGCCATTGTTCAAATACGAAATAGAGAAGAGAGAGAGAGAGGGGGGAGGAAGATGTCACCTTAGCAAAACTGCACTGAAACTGTGTAGTGCCAAGGAAGAGAATACATCAAAAGCGGCATTCAGCTCAATGGTTCCCGTGCAAGGGATAGCAACAACTGATTGCTCAAGTCCCTGTGACGTGTGTGACATTAAAAAAAACAAACAAAAAAAACAACTCACAAACCGAGATTTCCCGGATTGCAGAACGTGACTAGAGCAACTTTGGCTGTTATTCCCTCAAAGTCACCAGAGTAACATCTGGTTGGCTTAAAAATCAACAGTACAAAACCCACTACCAGTATATCCACATAAAGATTATTATAGTCAACATACTTGAAAATATAGCACTCTGTTGCTTCTTTGAAAATCAAATTTGGCTTGTGCTTAAATATATGTGTACCGAATGTGTACACGAGTGTACTAGAAAGTTGTAAAAGCTGTAACTGGTCGATGTCTTCAGACACATCAAGAAGCCTACGGTCACTTTATCTTAATATTTGGTCTTTCCCCTTGAAAAATACACATTAGGTCAGAGTGGGTCAAGCACTACAATAACTCAAGCTGCAGTGGCAAGAAACTGCTATTTTCACAAACACAGCAATAAAAGTTAAGGATACTAAAGAAACCCTTTGTCCATGCCAGGGCTACAGCCTATAGAGCCTACGTACAGCTTATGGTACAGCGAGGGCGAATGCAATGGGTTCTCACTACAGATAGAAGGAGAACAATCGAGACAAAGCATTTTATTTATTGCACACAAAAGAAAAAAGATCAATATCAAGGGTTTCACTTAATCTGGTGAAGACATTATGGAAGGTGTGTATACCTTTGTTTCTTCTGGTTGGGTACTTTTCCTTCCACTGGAATGTCCGTCCTGCCTTTGTCAGTATTGTTTAAATCAAGTCCCTCGTGAAGCGAGGGGGTTCTTCATTGATTCGTTCGTGACATTCTCCGAGTTAAAGATATGAATTCAGTTTACAATAACTCTGTGTAGATTAAATAAAAGCTTGGGAATTATCACAAATTGTACTGCGCTGGGAGAGGAAATGGAGGTTGATCACATGTGCAGTGTTGTCAAAACTTACACGAAATGGCCACTGCAGGTTAACAAGCTCCCTTATTCAAAAATGTTTGGCAATGATATTGTCAACACCGGTAATCGATGAGGGTCAGTCACCTACATGGTTTTTCTATGTTTGTATTTGTACACCGATACGTGACAAGTCATGGGACCTGGTCAATGGCACATAGGAATTGTGGATACAAAAACAGTTTTACAATTATCTAGCAAATTACATTTGACGTCTCAACTGCCCACTTTTTTTTCAGAGAAAAAATATATATATAGAAAATAATACAACATACAATCAAATTCATTTTCAGGTCATCCTCTTTTGGTTACACCGAGGTGAAAACAAGTGCAGTATTTAAAGTTCTTCGGAGAAACTAAATCTGACAGGCCGAACCCAAAAGTTCCCAGGTCATCAAAAATGTTTAAGCCAGAGCTGCTTAAAAATGGATGAGTCAAGGCCAGTTGAGGCTGCAGCTTGTCACAAAGTTCTTATAATGACATTTTCTCTGAAGACTAATTCAACATACAGGCAGAACAATCATCATCAACGTCACCACTGGTATACGGAAGTCTCTTGTGCACCACCAACATTTCTTTTTTTCCCCCCATTCATCTTCAACTCTTTACCCAAAGTTTTACAAAACACCAGTGAAACATTTTACCAAATTTCTGTGGCATGCAACCGAGATAAGGGCTTTCTATGCCAAAAAAGTGGCACGTGGTTACAGCTATAGTGGTGCCATAGTAAATCTGAAAAGAGGAAGGAAAAAAACAACTACACAACAAGCCAAATAACTGTCATTTTTGGGCTCAGGGTGGGCACTGGGGTGATGGTTCTTGAGACGAGAGGTTACGGAGTGGGTGGTGGTTCGGTGTTTAGATCGCCTCCCCAATCTGAGTACAAGGGAACAGCACTGGAGACCAGGCGGTGGCAGCTGCACTATGCCGTTGTGGGCACCGACACCTCCAGCAGGCGGTTGTTCTTGCGCTTGCAGGACACGCTGTTGCCGTTCTTGGGGGCTCCCTGGATGAATTTCACGCATACTTTGTCTTGCTTGAACTGCACCAGAAACCTGTCGCACAGAAGCATCATTAAACACCATCCAGCTCCTTTGACCAGAATAACCAAATTTTGGCATTGCATCTTACTCGTCTGAGATGTCAATGTTGAGCTGCTCCTGGTCTGCGGCTGTGGCCCCGGTGCGGTGGAGTTTGGTGATGATCTCAATCAGATGTTCACTGCTGAGTAAGAAGTCTCCTTTGGTGGCTGAGGCTGACCCCTAAAGCAACAGTTAGTAAAGGTTGGGTATATGACTGCAGCCTCACTTCCACTGTGTGGAAAATGCTATCTAGTGTAATTTTTCAGTTTATAGTAGTATCCATAGATATTTAAATAAGTCACAAACAACACAAGTGCATATTTTCTGCAATAGAGACCCTTTAATCATGACCAATGCAGCTGCTCTTTCACTATACAGCAGTTAATTGTATTATTATGTATAAAATATACCTTTTTTTAATTTGTTCTGTACTTTCAGCAGTGAGTGACAGATAAATGTAGACAAAGGGCAACCATTTACTGCATACTGCCAGTTAGAGTTAGAAAATTAGCCTCATAAGCCAGCCATAAATCGATACTCATACATTATAAAACCATAAATCGAACAAACAGCTACAGAAATGATCTTAAGTTCCAAGTTCAAGTATAAATCAAGTATAAATCTAGGAACACTTTTAGGATGCCCCAGGTCTCCCTCACCTCTTTCAGTCTGAGAGCAAAGAAGCCGTCACTCTGTGTGCTGACTGACACACTGGCGAGGTCTGGAAGAGGAACGCTGGCCTTCACCTGGCCGGTCTTCTGGTCGGCCAGGACAACGCTCTTCTTGGTCAGCAGGAAGATTCGAGCTGTACCCTGCAAACCAGAGGAGAAACTGTTCACCCCACTGTCTGTCATTCTAACATTGTGCTACATGTCAGCATTGTGCCAAAAGCAACTGCACAGACCAAAATAGGTTTAAGTGCGTTTTTGGGGTGTTTCCTGTGTCTCTCTGATCTTGAAAACTGGGACAGGGTAAAGAGTAAAACATAATACACCTGTCCAGAGATGTCTGCTATCTGCTGGAACAAAAATAATGCCAGTTGTTAAAATGTCGAAAAACTTCAGATTGCGGCACAGCTGGGTGAAATACCCATCAAAACAACTTAATGGTTTTGAGTTCCACTAGATCGGCGTGGAAAAAGTGGAACTCTTGACAGCAGGTCAGAATGTAGCCACAGCTTATACTTTGGACTTTTCAGCTCTTACAACAAGCTAAATTGATTGTGAATATTGTAGTGTCGGTGATGTTTCTTACCTTGCCATTGGCCCTGTTAATCTTGTTGACCACATCAGCCAGCAGAACCTTCTCATCCACAGCGCTGTTGAGTTTCTGATATTTGGGGTTCTTGGTGATCTCCAGGTAGTCTCCTTTGAAAGGCTGATTCACACTGAGACAAAACACAAAGTCAAAGACATACATAATACATTGTGTTTACAACACGTGTTACACATATACCATAACATAATGAACAGTACCTGCTCGGGTAGAGAGCCTTTTTATCCTTGAAGATCTTGCTTGCCTCCAGTTTCTCCTCATAAACTGCCTTCTTCTCCTCTGTGAACTGGCTCCTGTATTTCTTGCACTGGACACAGACATAACAGAATATAATCTATCAAATAAGGGTTGTTGTTGTTGTTGTTGATGATAGATATTTTGTACTACCTAAACAATATTTTCTAATTTTCCAAGTTTCTTGTGAGGCACTGCTTGTCTCATCTTTGTATATATTTTATCAGTAGTTGACAGGATCACTGCCTCAGGCGTTGAAAAAAGGTGGTTTTACCCTTTTATTGATTAAGTGTTACAGCCTGTGGCTCGACTGTAAAGATTTTGTCTCATATTGTGAGTTAAATGCTTGACTGAAGCCGATGCCCATAATACTTACTTCATTCTGCTACGTGCCTGTCTACCAGCTTATACAATATTCACTCTGACAGCATAAATCATGAAATGAAATTTAAAAATGGGTGAAGGGGACAGATGGGAGGAGAAGCGCTGTGGTTATTTGTGACCAACCCTCCAGAGATGGAAGATTCTCCGCAGCTCTGTGTGGACTCCATCCAGAAAGAGGTAAGGCCTGGCGGGCCAGTTCTTGTCTATGGGTGACATGGAGGGCATGGTGCTCTTCAGGCCCAGGAAGTATTTTTGCATCTGGACAAATGGACATAAATGAGAACTGTGTGGCAAGGGAATTGCAGGTTGAATGAGATTCTAGCAAATATTTGATGAAAAGAAAATTATTCTTTTCAGTTTTTGTGCTTTTAGTCATGTAAATATTCAAGTCCGACTTACAATTCTCTGGATGGTGAAGTCATAAATCTTCTTTCCAGCATTTGCCCTGAAGAATTTTCTGTACTCTCTGCGGACCTTTTACAACGAAAAAAACAAAACAAAAACAATAAACCAACTGTCAATCGCCTAACGCTATCCATTAGTTTGATGTGAAACAGGGAAGAAAAACATGATAGGATGGTGATAGTACACACACAAACAGCACTGAGTAACAGACGTTTGTTTAGTCACAAACAATGAACACCTGGAACAGACAAAAAAAACTCCAAGCTCCTGGAATTAATTAAAATTACAATGATTACTGAATGAATTAGTAAAAAGTCAATGATGGTTATGACAAATGACCTTCATGCTGACCTTAATTGCACAAATTGAGATGTGAACAGGTGCGTTGCGAGGTGCAGGGTGGGTCAATTAACATGATGAAAAGATTAACACGGTGACAAATGACCAGTGTGATGACAGTTATTCTTTTTAAACCGGACAGACACACAACATATAATCACCAAAAACTAGGACACACACGGACGCTTTACACACCTACAGACAAAGATAATACTGTTGGATACACAAAACAGTGCTGCTTTAAATGGGGTTAGTTGCACAGAAGCAGACGGGGGAAGACGTTTAGAAAAGAACAGATCAGAAAGAGACAGCGATGGAAAAGGTATGTAAAATTATGGAAATACAGGAGAGAAGTTTAACCATAAACTATTTTAGCCTGGTACATCTTTGTCAACTATTTCCTACCAAAGAAATTGTTCTTAAAACTGTTGGATCTGAGGGCTGTGGCTTATAATGAGTAACCAGGGCCTGGTTTCATTGTTTCATTGCTTTGAACACCTCAAATTAAATCCCATTCACCTCCATTGCACAGGAGTGGTGGCAGGAGTCTCAAAACCACTTTAAATTAAATATATTATGCATGTTTATTTTGTGTATTTAGGTGATCTACACTTTTAAGATGAGCTCACAGTTACTGTGTTAAATTGATTTCTCTGGGCCACATAGGTGATGTGGAGGTCAAATTTTGAAGGACGGCAAGTTCTGCAAGTCCCACGAGGGCTTCGCTGCAGAGGAAATTGGGATTTCGGTACTGGAGGAAAACATGGGGGGGAAAAAAGAGTTGACTATATAATTATTACAAATAGGAAGACATTTGTGCTCTAGTAATCTCAAATTGTCTGTTTTATCTGGGGTTAGGGGGTTAGCAGCACACAGTTTAAAACAATGCCATTATAGAAGTGTGATCACAGCACTCGGCAGAGACTGGCTTCCTGCAGAAGTGTGCAAAGTGTAGATGGTTGAGGGGGATGAAGAGGGTCAGGGGTGATGAGTAGGTGGCAGATTTGTTGATGGCTGCGCCGTGGGGCTGGAAGGTACCTTGAGTCCTTGCCAGTAGGCCCAAATCACAGCGACAGCGTGCTTACGCCTGGCCTCTTCCTTCAGTCTCCTCAGCTCCCTGCGAGCCTGTTCAGGAAAGTGGGCGGCGAGAGAGAGAGAGAGAGAGAGAGCGGGAACAAATGAAGCAAGAGACGATGAGAGGAAGAAGATGGAGATCGGTTTGCCTGAGGTCAGCAAACAACACACACACACACACACACACACACACACACACACACACACACACACACACACACACACACACACACACACACACACACACACACACACACACACACACACACACACACACACACACACACACACACACACACACACACACACACACACACACCCATCTGTGACCATCAAGAGACTGTAAAAGTACAGCGCTACTGCTCCACACTCCAGAAACAAATATGGCACACTGTGGGTCTTATGAGCATTTATCAGGAGAACTTCTGGAACGGAAACAGACTAAGTGCTTTTTAGTGCAACTTTGAGTGTAACAGGAAAAGAGAAAAAAGTCAGAACAACTCAGGCAGAAGAGATCACCTCAACGTTTCCATCTAAAAAAAAAAAAAAGACAAACAGTACTGCAATGCAAAGAGTCAACATGCATCAACTACACAAGAAGTCATGCAGACGGCAGGCGGCATGCACTGGTGAGGCATGGACCATGGAGGAAGAAGCTGAAAACACATTAAAAAAAATGACCTTATCTGTTACTGGTGTGTGTGACTGAATCTTCCAGGGAATGGGGTTGCACATGTAACCTTCAGTCACTGACTAATCATTGAATAACATTATCACCTGGCTGTAAAGACAGGCTTTGGCTCCCTGTTTTTGCTTCAGCATCCAGTGGACGGGTGTTGTACTGTATCTGAGCGGGTGTATGGTAATCTGCCTTACATCATAAATTAAATGTTTAGAATGGGTTGAACAAGAATGATGGATAAGCTGGGGGTAGGGGCGGACGGGCGGGGGGGCGATGGAGACGGCGAGTCACATAGTCACGGCAAGTCAAGTCAACAGGCTTCCCAAATACCTTGGTGCCCTGCCAGCCGGCCCAAATGACCGATACGGCATGTTTATTCCTCGCCTCCTCCTTCAGCTGACGCAGCTCTCTCCGGGCCTGATGAAAAGCGGTGGCAGTTGCGGAGGAGGTTAATTTCAGTGACAATCAAAAAACTTAATTGTCCCAGGAGAGGCACTGAGTATGTGTGGATAAAGCATTATGAGGAGACACTGACAAAAGACAACAAAAGATGTCAAGAGGTGGGACAACGGGTGGTTAACATCGACATGCGAGCAGCTTTTCGCCACATTTTTAGTCTGCACACGATCATGGTTTAGAGGAAAGAAAACCAAAAGAAAGATTATTACTACGTTATCTAGAATGTCATAAAAATGCCAGCCAATATAAAGCTTTTGTGTTCATTAAGAACAAAGGTCATACAGAGAATAATCTTCAACAGCATTCATTAATGATGAGTCCTTGAAATAAAATAGTGATTCTTCAAAGGGTTATCCTTTGAGCTATCATAAGTAAATACGTTAAGCAAAGTAAATGCTGATAAGATAACGTTGTGTTGTACATGCAGACTACAACGTCGGAACAGCGACTTTGGTTACACACAGCCGCTGTGGTTTTATAAAGTAGCAACATATGTGCCGTCATATTGATATAATTCCATGCTTAAGAGTTTCCTGGTGTTCTGCTGTTAGCGTATCAGCATGTTAAAGAGAGACTTCTCAGCATGAGCTATAGTAGATAGCACTGTGTGGGGGGCACTATATGAACAAGCTGAACTAATTAGATTAAAAGAAGAGGAGGGCCACATTTAAAACACCACATTAGCTAGAAACCAAACCAGAGACACCAACTTAAAACATGTGCGCTACATGTAAGGATCTGAGTGTGGCTTCTTTCCAGAGATAAGTTTGGCTTTTATAAATCTAGTTTTGATTTGTAACGCTGGGACTGGGAATACAATTTTCAACAACAACAACAACAACATATAAAAGCTAATCCTATATGTGACAGCTACAAAACAGAAAACAAGACAAACAATGATAAAGGCACACTAATCAGGCCAGTGGGAAACGGAAGGACTGGGATTGAGGTTTATTTAGAGGGGCTGCTACTCTATTAGGCAGTGTCATAGTAGGAATGGGATGGGACGGGACACAGTGAACAGGGATGACAAGACAGCTGGGACAGAGACACGCTACGGCTGGGTTGAAATACCTTGGTTCCCTGCCAGTATGCCCAAATTACTGTCACAGCATGTTTATTCCGCGCTTCTTGTTTTAGACGTCTCAGCTCCATCCGAGCCTGACGGGATGCGGTGGGCGTTAGGTAAGACAGGTTGAAGACGTGAGAAGGAAAAGAATTAAGAAAGGAAAGTGAAAGAGGAGTAGGGGGGGAAAGAAAAAAAAAAGAGAAGTGGCAGTTGTGTGATCAGCAAAAGAAGCAGGATTCAAAGGGAAACAGCAGCAATAACACCAAGAATAGCTTTGTTAAAGAACAGAATTTTTGTACTACTGTTGGGCCATTACGCAGGAACACTGCATAAGGTGTTTAAGGCGAGACTGTTACAACTTCAAGAACAGGATTTTTTTTCCCAACACAATGATTAAAAAGGCTGTATCAAACCCAGGTTGACACTCCATTGAGGTAAACACTTCACTCTCTGATATCTCTTTGCACTTTAATGCATCAGTACCTGGGTGCCGTGCCAGAATGCCGAGATGGTGGTCACTGCCTCTTCACATCTCTTCTGATATTTCAGCTCTCTCAGGAGTTTGCGGGCCTGGTGTAAATATAACAAGCAAACACTTTAATGTTTTGTTTTTTTCTGTCATGATTTATGCATGTCTGCCTGCTACGTTTTAAAACGTCTAAACAGATTGAATTCACAGGAAGGTGCACACCTGCCATCCTCTGGTGTAGGACTGCACCACTGTGGTGGCGCTCTTGATCTGCTGGTATTTCTTTTTTTGCTGTGAGATGGAAAGAGCAAACATAGGGAAATTAACAACACTAAATGCATCCTTGCTTTTCGCTTTATTTTGCTTTAAGTGTGATTTTGAGCACATTTCCTCAAAAAAGCCTCACCGCATATCGGCGGTACCATGCTGCCACAACTATCTGACTCTTTTTCAATAGCAGGAACTGGCTGCGGCACTTCCAGCCACGGTAGATCTTCTGAATGAGTGTGGCCAGGTCTTGCAGGCATTGCCTCCTCCTTTCCTCTAAGAAGAAAAGCTGTGGGGAAAAGGAGAGAATTTACTGCATAAGATTTCCTTCTTGGACTTGCAGCAAGATAATAAAAAATGACCAATGTGAATCAACTGATCTTCATCAGAGATTTGGGTACAGCATTTTATGGTCCTGCTGTAAGTGACTGCAATTTGTTCATCTGTAGGCATCCAGAGTATCTGGGTTCTTTTGATATTACTGCTTTGCATACACATTGGAAAACACAATTTCTCAATAAGCTATTTTTATGCAACGCTATCTCACTGTTAATGTAAGGTGAGGTAGGGTAACTTATTTACATATCACATTTTACACATAAATACCCTGCTCAAAGAGCTTTACAAATTGCGCAACAACAGTAACAATTAAACTACAGCCATGGCTGCATTTTTATTAACAGACAAAAGAAAACATGGATTCAAGTTCACTCAACTAGACTATGTAGCTGGCTTGCAGCTGCAGATATATAAAGAGAGATAAGTTGATGAGATAGAAAAAGCAATTATAGAAGAAACAAATTCTCCCAGTATGAGATCATGTTATTCCAAGCTTTGTTTGGTCTTTTGCTGGGTGGGTAGAAAGTCCATTCAAACGCTGCAGGCTTCAGCAAATGAAGAGCCTACAAGCGCTGCGTAAAGAAGCTCATTTCCCATGTTAGAAGGGACAACTAAGTGAAACCATGTGTTTTCAGAATAGTGGTTGCATGCTAATTGCCAAAGTGGGGGCTCCAAGCGCAGCCCACCCTGCTTTACAAACATCTCACTGTGCGAAAACAGGGCAGCTGAGCACACTGGATTCAACCTTCAGATATTCAAACTCAGCTTGATCTACAAGAGTACACAGCAGATGTAAAACCTGGCTAGAAAACATATTTAAAAAGGGATGCAGGGGTGCTTTAGCTGTGTTTTCTACCGTTCTTGGGTTCCTGATGAAGATCTTGGAGCGGCCATAAGAGAACTCTTCTGTTGGGACCTGGAGGTCGGCCATCAGCACCTCCACTCCTTCCCTATGGGGAGCAAAAAGGGTCAGATGGGTTATCCAAAGCATACTTGACACTTCAAGTGGCTACAAACAACATGAGAGCAACTGTACAGAAGTAGAGTGAAGATTGGGGACAGATCAGCAAGCAGAAGAGAACAGCATCGAGGATGTAGAGTTTGAGAAACAGAGAGAAAGAATGATTAAAGAAGAAAAGAAACACATCTAGATAAAACATGTGGACGCAGGAAATAAGGAAACCACACAAAGCATTGAGGGATGGGTGAACAACAAGATACCAATGTGTGGTAGAGCAGATATGAATCAGTGCTTTTACCAGCACAGAAGATGAAACATGCAGGCCTGGCTCATATGGAACAGATGAGGCAGATAAGGATGAAATGTCTCAACATGTTGCTCAGGGAGGAAAAAGGCTGGTATGTGACAAGAACAATAAGAGGTGCTTCATGTAGTGTGTGCAAATGAAACTGAAACTGTGTGTGTACTGCATGTAATAATAATAATAATAATAATAATAATAATAATAATAATGAGGAAGGATAATAGCCACAAGGCAAGCCGCCACCAAAATTAAACTGTATTTTTATATATAAAAAACTAAACAAAAGCCTTTCCCTAAACGTACCGTGTTTATGTTTATCTTAGTTTTATATCTCTATAAATGTGTCAGTATGCTGGGTAAACTGTTGAGCTGATTATTTACTTCCTTTAAACCTTTGTATATCCTGAGAAAGTCATCCGAGTTCTTTTCCAGCAATAACCTGCCTTACATTCACACAGCTCCATACAATCACACCTGGGAGCTGACCACTCCGACTACAGTCTATTAGTGCTGGTCACAGTCCCTCCGCTGGGAGCAGTCTGAGTTACAATGCCTTAGTTAAAGACACATGAGAGTGTTTTTCAGTTTCTGCTCTCACATTTTCTCACAAAAACCTCAGGGATTTTATTTTTTTTTTAGCAACCTTCCAGTGACAAAATTCCTTTTCTCTACTCCCCTCACCTGTCCTACAATTAGCCACCGCTTCAGGATAAACACAGCCATTACCTGGCAGGCCCTCTCCAGTGGGGCCATGTCCGTTTGCAGAGCATTTTGTAGCGTTCCAGGCAGGGCTCGTAGGCCTGGCGGAAGGCGTAGCCTGCTCTCCTCACACGGACGTTTTCCATCAGGCCAAGGTAGCGCGCCTGATGGCCGACCAGAGACTCAGTGAAGATGTGAGATGCCTTCTTGTCATTGGGCTTGATGCACCTGGGAAGTAAGAAGAAGGTTGTTCACACCAAAGTTAGACAAATGCATGGAGCTGATACCTTTAAAAAACAATTCAAATATGGGCTGTTGTTGTTGTCCACCTTTATTATGAGAAACATGCATAAGTTAGACTGACAGCACTGCACTGTTTCTCCATGGGGGACCATTTACCTAAATTGATTCTGGAGAAACATTGTATCAGTATCAACTACAAAGGCTTTGGTGGACAGTCAATTTCCAAAGCAATTTGTTTAAGCAAAACAATGTTTAAAACATTTTTGCCAATCTCACACACAAAATCCTAAACTGGCAGGGTAATAACTGATATACTCTGACAGGACTTTACCGGATGTAGTTTGGGTTCTTGGTCTGTAGGTTCCTCATCAGTGTGCCCACTGAGGCTTTGAACTGGAATCCGGCAGTCGGTGGTCTCTTCAGGTTGACTTTGGCTGGGTTGCCCTCGGGAAAGAGCTGTTTGATGAGGCTGTGGGTGGCCTTGTACATGGCCTGTGACAGGTCCCGGTATAACAGGTCGTTGTTCTTGTCAACAAAGCCCTCAACACGGTACAGCACCTTGATATGAACAGGAAACACAGAAATTACTAAAACTGTATTTTCTATTTATAATGCAAAGAAGCACAGCTGAACAAAATGTCTAACTCCTCCCTTTTGTACTTTGTTTCAGTTTTTAATATCCTGAGTGCACATAAGAATTTAATTGTCTGACCAGATGATATTACTATCTATAATTGCATTTGTGTTTTCTGCACTCCCTTTACAGCATTGTTAAACATCTTGCATTTTATCTACAAATCCCTTATTGTTCTGAACACAGACTCGTGTCCAGTACCTTGCCGGCGTAGTGCTGGATGCGGAAGCAATTGTGTGGCAGGCTGTGGTCGGTGAGGAACTTTGAATTCTTGCTGAGGCGACTCTCAAAGTGCTGGTGTTCGGCACAGATTGTGTTCAGTTTGTCCAGGAAGGTCTCGTCGGTGACCGTCCCCGGCCTCAGGCACTCCTCGTCCAACATAGCCAAGATTCCATTTTGGTGCTGGACATAAAAAAATAAATTACCAATCATAGTATCAAAGTGTTCAATACTGAAAGTTAGATCTAATATTAGTCTTTGTTACTGGCCTCTTGCCACTGTTTTTTGATCGATAAAAACACTGCTACAAAAAGCAGTCAGACTTGAATGTGGAATTGGTTTGTGGTGGAGAACTGACTCACATTCTCAATGAGGTCGCAGATAATGGCATTATTGAAATATTCAATGTTGGTCCACTCGATGCCCTGTAACAAAAGAAATGAAGGTCAAAGGGACAATAGCTTTTCTATCTTTTACCAGAGCTAACAAGACATTTTTAAACACGTCAACTGGACTCTCACAGAATTAAGAGGCTGATAAAATAACACCCTTGAACCTGCCTGCGTTCCACACCTGCTCACTTGAAAGAAAGAGTCACCTAATCAGTGCTGTTCTCAAGTACAGACTTACATATTAGACATAACTGACAATACTAGTTGCAGTGCAAAGAATAACACAGTATGTCTGCCTTCCATTTTTATTAAACCTCAAACACACAGTAAAGATTGTTATTTGTCTGTTCTGTTTTTCCCTGAATATGAAACAGGGAGATATTTGTTATCTGCAGTTAATAGCAGCTAATTGTCATGTGTATTCCCTGGTTCCTCTTAAGTTTGGGACAACTTTTTCTTGTTGTATATTAGCATAATCTCCTAGTGTCAATAGTGTCTCTCTACTTAAAGAGTAAATGGAAACGCAGACAAAGCATTTCTTGTATTTGTCATTTGAAGTCAACAATGTTTAACACAGAAAAAAAGTTCAATGTATGCATCTTGAATGTGTCTCTAAATCTCATCTAAAACCTCAAGTGTTACTTTGTTATAAACTGAGGTTATACTACGGCTAGACACTTTAATATCACTACCACTTAATGTTTGCATGGTGCATTTGGGCCTGATGAGAACAAATGTTCTGGAAAACACTAAATGGGCGAGGTCCCTTTAAAATTACAGTTCTTATTCCTTATTTAAGCTTTGATCATGAACCTAAGTGCAGCTCTTACAAATTATTAAAATCAGCCTAAATGTTGGTACATTAATCTTCATGGCCATATTTGTCCTCGCTGGGTTGATGCTATGTTCACCAAGGCATGCTCTCCTGCTCTGTCTCTACCTCAGTCTTTCCATGATGTGAGTGGGGACATAACACAAAAGCCCTTCAGGAGAGGAGAAGGAAAACATTCTCCATCTTACCCTCTATAAAAATCCACTTTGCCGACATGTAATTCACAGCTACTAATGGGTGGGGGAGCCCAGCTTCGGTTGATGTAAGCGATGTGACAGATATTTTGAGTGGGAGGGCACAAAGAAGGTGTGGCTTAAACAGACGGGTGACTGGCCAAATTCCTGATTGGTGGTCCTCCCTCCTTTCCCCCAGCGCTGTGGTATTTTCCCATGCAGTATACTGGATAGAGGCCAGGAGTGGAATATCATTGGTGGGTCTGTTAGTAGGGAAGGGGTGTGGGGGTCACCACTGCAGCACTCACATACATAGAGCTTTGAAAACAAACAGAGCTTAAAAGGCCCCACAACGGGGGGAGTGTTTACTCTCGCTGTAGTGAGGGATCACTTCCGTCCCCAAGACTCCACAGAGAGGGGGGAGACGGGTAGAGAATAAACCCGGAGCATGATGGACGACGGAGACGGGCATAGGAGGCGTAAATGAAGTAGAAATGCGTTTGGGTCAAGGGCAAGAATGTAGGTTTCGCTGAAATAGCACGAGAGGTTAAAGAGATGAGTGACGTGACCAGGTTGGGATCGTGCTTTGGGGGGCTTTGCGATGATGAACTGTCAACACAACAAATTGAGCGCGGACATGTTGAATGATGCAGATGTACAGTTGCAGGCCAGAGTGTTTCCAGTGCTACAAGCTAGGATTGATGGGGAATTTATCCCACTACCAGTGTGCTCATGAGTACATAGATTATGTGTGTGTAGTATGTTGTGTGAGTATACTGACGTACCTCTCTGACATACTCCTCCTGCTCCTCGCGGAGGGTCAGCTCGATGAAGATCTGCTGCAGCTTCTCGTTGCAGTAGTTGATGATGAACTGCTCAAAGCTGTTGTCCTGTGTGGGCAGAAAAAAAACATTCAGTACCAGCTATTGTCAACATTTTAATACATATATGAAAGAGCCTGTTAATTCATTATCGTTCTACGTTATTGTCAGTGAAATGGCTTTTTTCACTGCAAAATTGGAAATGTGTTAAGTTTCTGCTGTTCTTCACAAACCACTATGGTTACGAAATGCTTTATCAACACTGTTCCTCACACTGAACCTTCCTGCCCCATTCTCAAATATCATTAAAGCTCCAACTGCCTTTTTTCTTATCTGTAAACATTCATAAGCATAGCCGTCTCTTTCGCCATTTCCATCTATTTCCTGCAGTGATTTATTAAACAGGATGGTCGTACCAATGTGTACTGATGAGGAGAGCTTACACTATTGTTTAGACACATTTTGCTTGAGCTTCTCTGGAATTTACATTTAGTGTCAGATCTGGAGCAGGAGTTAAATTTAATCTGAGGACAACATCCAGAGCTATGCAATTAGTCAACAAAAAAAATCATTTTCAAAACCTGCAAACCTTTCTTCTGACTACTTAAAATGATCTCATCTGACAGCGTACAAATAAAACTTTTTTGAGCTTTGGGGAGTAGGGTTTGGGGTCATACATCGGCTATTATACAGGTCACCTTGAACAAACTATAACCTGCAGCTCACTTCTTCCACTCAACAATTTCCTACCTCATAACTTTAACAACCATCACTGAGCAAACACTTCAATCTGGAGGGTGGTACCATTAAATCATGATGATACACCCTTATCAGAACAAGTTCCCGCAAACCATGATTTCATTAAACATTAAACTTATATCAAAAGCCGTAACCATTTTTACTCCTTGCATTTCTCAATTATTATTGTTGTCAATTATGACCTCTGAGTGGTGAGTCATGCTTCTTGGCAGATGGCCTTATTGTATGCTGGGTTAGGTTAACATTAATTTGCTAAGGACACAACAGTGGTTAGGGTAGCATGTTTAGTCTAAGAGCTCAGAGTGAAGGAAGCTGCAAGGTTTCTCAGTGACCAGGAAACAGAACACACAGCCATAAGGGGATCAGTTATTAATCTTAAGACTTCATTTCCTTATACTGAGAAACCAAAAGGTCAACTTCACCCCTAACAAACACTCACACACACACGCACACACACACTCAATAGCATGTCTACACCCAAGTGGCAGCAGACACCAGACTGAAATGTAGCACAGTAAATTATTTCAGCTGCAACTGTGCTGTTTTATGAAAAGTGGTTTATAGCAGCTTGAGGAAGAAACCATCTAAAAACTATGTGTGAAGTTAATGGTCTCCTCGCTCAAGAGGTGTTGATTCACTTGCCCCAAGGTAAGGGAAAGACCTTGCGTTTAATATTAAACGTAACTAAAGTTCAGTGGAGCATTGGCATACATACATATACACATATTTACCAAATCTTTCCTGAATATTAAGGCAGTAAAATTGTCATTATAAACTTAAACCTCATTATTAATTTAATATACATTTAGTTTGTTAAATTTCCACTAGACCACCAAAACATCTCAAAGCATCAGCCTAATCTGTATTTGTTCAAGGAATATTCAGCATTTGTGGTTATTTGCTTTCTTTAAAAAGAGTTAGAGCATTGTAGATGTCATGAAGCTACACTTAGGAGACTGTTAGCTTAGCTTAGCTTAGCATACAAAACTGAAAGCAAGAACAAACGGCTAGCATGACCCTGTCCAAAGGTTACGAGGGCCTCAAAAGCTCACCAAGTGTTAAATGATAAAAACCTACGTGTGAAAACGTCACACCGTGGCTTTACAGGGAGTTTATGTGCGAGACCATTTCATGACTGGGTGCTAGTAGCCGTTTCTCCCCGTTTCCACTCTTTATGCTAAGCTAAGCTGTAGCTTCATATTTATCACACAGACAAGAGAGAGCGGTATCAATCATCCCATCTAACTCTTAGAAAGAAAGGGACTAAGCGCAAGTCCCAAAATAGTCAACTATTTCTTTAAACTAATGTCTTTTATAACCAGAAAGCACAGACATTCAACACAGCAGCAACACACTCCAGTTTATTAAGTACACCTAGCTAGAAGAAATGCAGTCTCATACAACAACCCTGCGATAAATCCCTCCGTCTAACTGTAGTGAGTCAACAACAGCATTGTTAATATAAATGGTGAGGATAAAATATTTGAATTTTAATATAAAGGCATAAACTACAGCCTCCAAAATGACCATACAACTTGAATAAACACCTCTCTAAAAGCTGAACATTATACAGTAAGCATTATGAATGTAAGGTTTATTGCAGGGATGTTGTATTAAACTGCATTAGTTTTAGCTAGCTGTAGCGAATAAACTGGCAACTCAGTGTTATGCCATTCTTCATTCTAACGATGCAAAGGAATCCTTTAGCATCTTTTCAGCCGAGCGGCTGTGCTGCACACCGAGAGCTCTGAATTGTCTTTAATGAGGAGCTGAATTAAGTCGGAAAGGGTTTAGATCACTGCATGCACACTGGCACAGCAAACAGGCCGGTGCAGGTGTTACTTACTCCATCCTGGTGACTCAGACACAACACAACGGTCAGAGGAGAGGAAGGACTTGAGAGTGAGTGGGATGAACAAGCAAGGATTATGAAAACAGAAACATTTGGGGGTGGTGTGACCGAAGGCATCAAGCAACAAGGCAAGGACATTTATTTAATCACCATATACAGTGCACTGAAACTCTGTCTCGCATGTGTTAGCATGCACATACTAATTTACATGCACCTTCATGGCCAAATGGCTGGTCCCTATGTTATTAACATAATGGAAAAAATGCAATCCCTACTGGTGCTGTACTATGTAATGTTGCTGAGGTATCAAAGACATTCTGTTTACTGTGCAATATCTTCGACAGGGAAGCCATAACATGAATATGATGTGTTGAGAAAGTGCGTTTCCTGTGTGTTGAGCAGTTCCTTAATGTTGTGGCCATTTTTCTCCTGTGAAATGCTGATTTAAGTGTTGAAATCACATAAAAAAAAAACTATTTCACCCCAGGGAGGAATAAAGCCGAACTAATCTGAACTGAATGTGGTTTTATCAGCCCTAAGTTACTGTTGATAAGCTCCTCGCAGGTACCAAAACACGCACGTAAAAACAGCCTGGGGCCAAATCCTTTTCAAATGTAATAAAATGTTTGGGTGGTCAGATTCTGACCTTGTGGCTAATCAGAACGAGGAGAGTGGGTTTGATCTGCCATTTTCCTTACCTCAAATATCTCAAACCCATAGATGTCGAGCACACCCATGACCTTGTGGCGAGTTTTAGCTTGTGCCTGCGGGGAGACAATATTGTCAACATCAGAAATACATTATGACTGATGTACTGGTTAAATCAACTGAAAAACAATAAAATATAATCAGGTACATTACTTACTTTAATGCTTTCATTGATCCTGGTAACTAGCCAGCTAAACAGACGACTGTAGAGATTTTTGGCAAGGGCGTCTCGGGCATAGTAGGCCTGTGAATAAACACATAACACTGGTACATGAGTGCATTTTCACTACATCTCTGTACACCCAAAATATCCGTCTTTGAAGAAATCCCGAAAGCTAATACTTGAATTTCCAACATGTCAAAAATGTACAAACAGAAAAACAACCTTTGCTTGTACAAACGTACACTGAATCATCAAAACTTTAGCTGAAAAGATTCAAGGACAACACTAAAACAGGCCAACATTATTTCTTCTGAGGCCAGTTTAATTCTCTCTCTTCTCTTCCTCTTTTGCTTTTGGACACAGAGGGCCCATGTTTGCAGCATCCACGTTACATGAACAGTCTCAAGTGAACTCACTAACCCCTACAATATGACCTACATTTGAATTTCCAGGAGGAGTTCGGCTTATCTATAATGGAGAGGTTTTTCATTTAGCATTGAGATGGATGAGAGTCGGCAGCCAGAGGAGCAAGTCAGGGGGAAGAAATGGCTCTTTATCTTTTTATGCACTGCGAGAGTGTGTGCGCGCGTGTGTTTGTGTGTGTGTGTGTGTGTGTGTGTGTGTTAATGTCAATAACAACTAGGACAGATATGCATTGGTATTTAACTGGTGCAAGACAGATTAAGCGAGTTAAGCGATCAAACTCTGACCTGGGCCACATTCAGGGTAGTGGACACTTTCTCCATCTTAGCCTCCACTGTGCGGTAGCTGAACGCTCTTTCCAACACTGTCTGTTCGATCCCCAGTAACTCACACATCTCCTTCAAATCTGCAAACATGTACAAAAACACTGACAGTAAACAAACCACTTCTACAGGATCAAAGGATATAAATCCAAACCCTCTGATCATTATTCTTATTTTATATATTTTGTTGCAGAAAACATAAAGCTGGTAGATCAAGTAAGTGACAATGATAAAAGATCATCAAAGAAGATGGCAATGTGTGTTTGTTTTTGAAGATCTAGATCGCCAGCTGTATATTCCACTGATAGAAAACATTGTTGGGACACTGTGATGCTTTACAGTTACTTTATTGTAATTTCAAACCTCTTGTAATCATATGCTGAAAAAATAAACATCAAATAATAATTTCTTCTTTATCTCAATTAATTGTAATAAAGTATACGATTGCTTTAAGAGTTAAAGCAAAACATTCACCTGTGTTAATATCTATGGACTTTATGGAATATGTAATCAGTATCACACTGATAGAAATGGAAGACGTTACCTTGAAAAATAAGAGCATAAGACACGAGCAACGTGTTGCAATATGATTGCAACAAGCCAGTGATGCATGTGGAAAAAAAGAGATGTGCCTTTTTTCAGCAAAAGTGGCACTAAGATGGATCATGCCACGGCCATGGAGGGAAATATGTAAATGCAATATTTGCCTAAAGAGAACAGCTGTGGGTGTAATAACACAAACAGCTTTTGCCACGCATATCATAAAACACAAATATGTATTTGGTGAGGGCGACTGCTGAAGAGATTAAAGCCGCCAATAGGGGGCAGTGGCTCAACATCAGGCCAATTGTGGGTTAAAAATATTCACAAGAAATGAGCAGAATTAAAATCGGATCAAATGAACACAATTATTCAGCTCGTCCGATATTTATCCAATTATAACTAAACAGCCAGGTGGCTCAGGTGTTCACAACTACATCATTCAAATTAAAGTGGAATGAGTTATTAAAAGGTCTCATCCATCACACTAACCATTTTTGTCTTTAATGCGGCTCTCGTCTGAGCCGTTACAGCGTGACTCTGGCTTGAACTCTATATTGCCGAGCTTCAGCACGGCCGCCACCAGCTCCAGCACCGACTGCACCTCGTCCTCCATGAAGCCCACGATCTGCATGGCATTCTGGGAGGGACAAACAGGAATAGGTCACAGATTAATTACCATTTTGGATCAAACATGGAGACGGGGTTGCAAAAGGGAGCTAAGCCATAAATTAATTGTAATGTGATGTCTATGGTTGTGCAAACAAACCAGTTCAGTAACAAGATGTTACTATTGCAGCCTGTCAGCACTGTAACTGGTGATGTCATGATAGTAAATTTTACAAACAAGGCTATGCACGTTGAATACAAATGTCAGCAAGCACAAATGGTTTTATATCACCGATCAGAGTTGTATTCATGCACACAGGAATAGCTAAATAATACATTTGAGATTGAAAGATTGAACAAGGCGGTAAGCTGTGCCAACCAGATCACCATGTCTTTTAAAACTTTAATAGTTTCTTCAGACTGATGTCTCTATTTTGAGGGACTCCGTGTTAAAAATAAGAGAGTATTTGATTTACAAATTCACATTTGTCAAGAAAAAAGGCGACAAGCAAAAGCCCTCAAAACACATCAAATCAATCTATCTTTATAATCTGCAAAACACCCAGTTGAACACATCTTGAACAGAATCATGTTCGCTGTGGTACTGACGTAATTTCATATTTGTTGAAATCAAACCAAGTCAAAAATTCTAAATGTAAAACTAAACATTAAACTAAATGAAGGGAACAAAGTGTGGCTGTCTTTGGCTTTATGACAGACAAGGCCACGTGGGGGGACTCATTGTTTAGAGGGAATGTCCTCTTGTGTTTCCGGTGGTGAAATGCAGCTGTATGGGGAATACTGTGAAAATTCAATGTGAGAGGTGATGAGAAGCAGGATGTGAAATGCAAGGAAACAAGTCGAGTAGGATGTGACATAGCAGACTGCAAAGGCCTTTACAGTAGCTGAGTAGTGCATGCTGGAGCAGGACTGATAACAACTGAGCGCTGTAGAAATAGTCTCTGTACTGTAGACACAACATTATGTACAGGATAAGAAGCGGTGGCAGACAACACACAGACAAGATCTTGCATGATTGTAGACAAACTTGTTTAAACAAAAGGAAGCACCGGGCTTTCCCCAAAGAAATGCTGCTGCCACTGTGTTGTTACAAGCTGAACCACTGTTCTTGTCAAAGGCTGCACACGGAATTTTCCTGGGTTTAATAAATGCAAACCTTAGTAGTTCAGGTTTTAGTTGACTTTCAAATTCAGGTTCGCTTCAAAGTTCATCTGGTTATGCAAGAGGCGGTAGAGAGTCTGGTGTGGAGTGCTTTCACAATCCAGAAGACTGACTTTTATCATGTGCACTCTGTTAGTTTTGTTATGTCCAGGAGATAAGGAGGAATCAGACCGCCTCTACCCTCTGTACAGGATTTAGCTTAACGTGGCATGATGCAACAAAGGAAAATCGGTGCTGAACGCTACTGGAATGTGGTGCTGTTTGTGATGAGTGCGTGTTCTTCTTTGGTCTGGTTTTTGTTTCAGTTCACTTGTTCAAAATTAAGGTAAAGTGCAATATTATTCAGACAAATATGTGTGTGCGCTACTCACTCTGACTGTCCTGAAGTTGGCCGCATCATCCAGCCCATTGACTGCAGCAGAGTCCAGGCTCAGGTAGTTGTATTTGCTGAAGTCCCGCTCCAGCTTCAGCTTCTCTGTGACACACAAACCATGTGGTTGCTATTTAAACTATATATTTGTTTAAATTAGGTTGGATACAGGCAATTTAAGCCTCATTTACATTAAATGGAAGTCACGCAACTACACACTCACAGCTGGAGGTGCCTGATAAAAAAAAAGAAAAAAGAAACCTGCATTCTTCAAAGAACATCTAGAAAAAGAATCCCTTGAAGGTGCAAAGGTTAAAATGTGCAACACCGAGACCTTAATACAAATTTGTCCAACCTTCAGGCCTGTGTCACTCCAAACATAATTTCTACATGGGCTTTTACTGCTGTGAACATTATTCTGGGAGATCAAATGGCCCTCTTAAAAGCCCCCCTATCTAGTAGCAAAGAAATCTATTCCTCTCGTGGGCGCATGTGTCGGATTTCATTAGTGGTCACATTAGCTACAGCTGAATCAAGCCCCTCTGATGTGTGTGCACTAGAGTCAGCGACCATTACATTGTTCTCCTGTGTTCAGGACATAAAACAATGCCCTCCTTCCACAGAAAAAAAGCAAATAGGGGGAACAGGTTTCACGGCTACTCTTTGTTCTCTGCACTGTTTGTTAGGCAGGAAGATTGGGTCATTAATGCTTCAGCCATGTGTCTGTGCAGCTGCAAGCTTGCTGGGAAATATTCATGCTAAATCTTAACAAAAGGAATGGCATGCTGGTGCTTCCAGGTGACAGAGGTCAACATAAATATATATAAAAAAAATCTAAATCCTGAAATATGGGAACACAAACTCCATGCTCATGTTAACCATCCCAACCATCTCCATCAATGGCGAGTCTAGTTTCCTCTGAACAAGACTGCTTGCCAGCTACTCTTACGTTTGGAATAATTTCTATTCATGGGATATACACATACCTGCTCACAGGATGTAATGAATCAGACAAGTACGCTAAACATATAACAACCCCAGTTTTGGCTGAGAAGGGTGGATTGAAATTTTTCAGTATTACAAACTGCCATTTCTCTCAGATCCAGGGGCCCTTTATACTACAGGTCTACACTTACATTGATGCTCCCATTTCCAGCCTTTTTACAACTTACTGAGTGTGTCATCGGAGGCTCCAGACAAGAGCTGATAAAAGACGTGGAAGTTCCTCTCTCCTCTCGGCTGTTTCACCACACGTGACTTCTCCAGCAGATCTAAAAGAGTAAAGGACAACAAAAGGAAATAATGACATATGAGGACAAAAAGTCATTTCCTAACAATAGTCTTTGCAGGAAGTGTTTCTGTAGTGATTCACTGAGGTGTCCTTGAGTAGGAAATATGGGACTGACCTCCTGTAGTAAGTATTAAGGAAGCCCAACAGCTGTATGGAGCTCAGAGGTTCAAACTACTGTATGTTTTTTAGGTTGTCAAGGTGACTGAGTTGATTATTGGTAATTATTTGCACACACACGCACGCACGCACGCACGCACGCACGCACGCACGCACGCACGCACGCACGCACGCAACCGGAAGTGTACAAGGAATAAACCATGCAGGGATATCAAACGTCAGCCCTTTCTTCTGGGCTACTGACCAAGTGCAACAGTACCTGATTAAAAGGGGACCCATCATCTGCTCACCGCATTAGACTGAGTATGATTTAATTAAAGACCAACTGCAAAGCTCAGCATGTGAGGCGGCTTGAGATCCTCTCCACTGGCTGAATAATAGCATTCAGTTTGACTGCTTACAAAACATCTTATTTTAGGAGACTAAAGAGTTTATATTATACTGAAGTTGACATTTTAGGAAGAAGAAAAATATCCACATGAACTGCCATTTTAGCTACGATCAAATTTCAAGCCAAAGAAGAAAAAGAAAAGAAAAAAAGAAACTGCTCCTGGCTTTGTAAATCTTCAGACTTCACAAACTCTGACTCACCAGTCTGTGGGTGCTGAGAGGACAGAAGTGCCACTTTGCACTGCATCTGTGGATACACTGCAAGCACCTAACTAGAGAGCCCTACACACAGACCTGGGAGTTGTTGGAGTCAGTGGTGGATCAGGCTGAATTGTGAATCTGTGGCACCCACTGGCGATGAATCACATAAGTGACTCTATAAGAGCCAGCACATCAATAATACAAACATCCATGGCTGGCTGGCTGGCTAGCAGAAATACACAGCTGCGATCAAAGATGCAGATATATATATATATATATATATATATATATATATTTTAATATATCTGCTCCAGTTTCTTTTTACTTTTTTGTATAGTCTCTGATTCTTCTCATCCTAAAAGGGGACTGAAGTGAGCTTTAATGTCGTGTCCAGCCAAACCGTTTATCTCGTGGTTGCTTTTTTAGAGCCACGGCACATTTTCTGCAGTAAAGCATCCTGATAAGCATTTATTGCATGCTCTGTTCACAACATGTTCTCTTTCCCTGAGATAAACAAACACACATTAAAGCAGCAATGTGGGAACAATATCCTGTTATGTTATGATGGAAGGCTGTGGCAGTTTGGCTGCCAGAAAACTTCTTACCACTCTATCATTACCAAAGCTACTGAGAGTTGACTTTTCAAAAACACACAGCTATCTGATCTCAGTTGTAGGCATCACTGAGGGCTTGAAGGGTGTACAATTAGGGGGAAAATAATGAGCTGAGAGGTGAAGAGAAATCCATCCAAGCTTTCCCTGCAAGTACATCCTCATCCAATCTGTCTAGCCAGCCGGCCAGCTCTGTCTGAAGCAGTCACATGTCAGTGGCCCTTCTTCACAGACCGTGCCTTGTGTTGGACTAACTTGAGCCCACAGACAGAGGTTCATTTGTGTCTCGAGCCATCAGCTCCTCTCTTTGTTTCTGTGACCTCTGGTGGAGAAGTCAGCGCAGACAAAACAATTTGAACAGAGGCAAGAAAAAAAAAGAAAAAAACTGGGGGAAAAAAGAGCTGTGTCAGAGTCAGGGAGTGGAGGGGTGTGCTTTGTTCAGTGTGGAAATGAGATTGATAATGCTGAACTGAAACCAGTTTATAAAATGCACAACTGCACCTCAACAATAAAAAATAAATAAATTGAGCAGCCTCTTAAACTGCTCTTGAAGATAAAAAGCAGATACTTGTATGTTTAATTGAAGTTTTTAAATTGTGTTACAGGGAGAAAAAGCAATCAGTGTCAGGTTGATAAGGACACGAAGAAGAAGAAGAAAGGCATGTGACTAATATGATAAAGATTAAGGAAACATGATGTGTGTAATTCTGCATAAACATTTACATATATGTTTAATTTTAAAGGGCCTATTTTATCTCAATGCTACTCACAGTTGCTGATGACTCCACCCAGAGGATCTCCTTTGAAGTCGAACTCAATGTCCATGTACTTTCCCTGTGGATCAGTAACATACTAACAGTTAAAACTGAACTCATATCATGTTAATATACAGTGTTCACTGTGAGCTGGGCCCAAAACCCAGCTCATGAGTACAATTCAGTTCAGTGAGGCTCTTTGCACAACCCATTCAAGTTAAAATTACAGCAGCAGCTTCCAATCACAAACTACTATGAAATAACTGGCCTCCGTGGAGGGAGGGGAAAGCCCCCACGCCCCTCCCTGCCAAGTTCTTTCTACTGGAAGACTAAAACACCCCCCCCTCCCTTCTCTTTCTGTCTGAAACTTGGAAATTAGAACATAGAGTCCTGTGTGTTTGATTCCCTCCCCCCCCCCCGATGTATTAATAGCAGACATGTCCTCAGAACAGGCCAAACTCTACTGGTGAGTGGGCTCCAGCCAAACTCAATAAGTCCGCTGCACTCAGCAAAATGAGGTTGAGGTGACAGTTTGATTCATAGGTCTCTGGAAATGATGGAGCTCTGATGGACTGGTATCTAGTGGGGAGGCCTGAGGTCCTTGTCTAGAGGTTTATGCCAAGGTTGCCTAAATATAAACAGATCAGGGCCATAATCCTTTATAATACTCCCTGTTACAACTGCAAGTCCAAGCACTGGCATGTGTTTGTATGTACTAATGTCGGTGGATGACTGACTAATAGTGTGAAAAGGAAAGCTAAAATTGGGAGTGGAGCAATACTTTGGCAGTTCGCCTGCTAGCTGCTACTGGCTGGTATGACCAGTTTCCATTAAAAAAAAGCCCCTTCAATTGTATGGCACCTGGACAGTGTGTTGAAATTAGACTTTTAGATGTACTGGAAGTTCTTCAGATAAACTGAGTCACTTTTTGAATTTGCAGCTTAATAAACTAAGCTAAATATTTGAAAATTAACATGTAGAGAAGTAAGAGAATTGATAGGGAGTGATCTGATGTAACGTCATGTCTTAAAGGAGGAAACTGAAACAGGCTGCTGCTGCTGCTGCTGGATTGGGCCTCCCTGAAAGCTACCGAGCCAGAAAGTGTGAGAATGCCCTCATGGGAAAACAAAACACACCCGTCTCTTTTCATACTGCATGGAAATAATTTGTTCTCTGGATTTGTGTCTGTCTAAACAAATAGAGGTGCAGACACTGAATCATCTGTATGATGCTATCTCGGTCTTCCATACAGATAAGCATTCAATTTCTTCAGCTTAGTCATTCTCAAAACCACAGAAAGTTGTAAAGTTAATCATAAAAGCAAACTATCTGAAGCTCAACTAATGAACAAGCACTACTGTGTTCTGAGAAAAGAGTACAAAATAAAAAATGAGTGCAATCATACAGGCGTGTGTCTTTTTTTGGGGGGCAGGGGAAAAAAAACGATAGGTCAGTGTGCCTGGTATGCGCTGGCATTTGGCCACGCTCTGCAGTTGATGAACAGCAGCGCAGATCAAAGGCCACGTCCTGTATGCTGTATTGAGAGAGCATTTACAAAGCCCATTTAACATGTACGAATGCAATATATCAAGGGTGCAAGGGGTGCTTTAACTGACCAAGTGCGTGGGCTGGTGTAAGTAAAGATCCAATATATATCTTCACATTATATGGAAAAGATAGCAGAACACACATGTGACAAACGCTCCCCGCAAAAGGATGTTATTCCCTGTTTTTGTTTTCATTTGCAACCGTAGAACTACTGTAACATTGCGGACCCTATTTGTAGTCCAATTTAGCCAGAGCCAGACTGACGCAAGCAGACGAATGAGAAATCCACTGTGTAAAGAAATTAAAAGAAATTCAGAGAAGGACACAAAAGAAGGGAATTGAACACTCTGGGGCTTATTTTCAAGGAAAAGAGAAAAACATAGATGAAAGTGCCTGATTACGCACCATCTTGAATGAAGTCTGAATGAAAACATCCAAGCCATGCATCATTTTTAGCAAATCAGACCTTGTTAGAGAAGCAATCATATCATTAAAACAACACTAGCTGTTAATCAGTTCTGAAGGGGATACTTACAAATCTGGAAGAGTTGTCATTCCTCACTGTTTTGGCATTTCCAAAGGCTAAAAAGGAGGAAAAACATAATGAAACGTGATGAAACCATTGCAACCAATGCATTCATCGGCAAGTAAGTCATCGGGTAAAAAGTTATAGCCAATATATTAAACCTAATCAGAGCTTGTTTACAAATATTCCAAACATTATTAATGATCCTTAACATTGTGCCTCACTCCAGCAACCTGTCAATCATATTAGGGCAGGATGTTAAAGCCATTTGTACTGATGAATCCCCATAATTCTGCATGGATTAAGCAAAGAACCGGGGCTTTCCAGGCTTAGAAAGGACTGACCCTTGCAAAGTGCTTCAATATGTGGCAATGCTCATAAACAAGAACAAACATGATGTCCAAACAGTGTTGTAAAGTATGATTTTTACGTGTGCGAGTACATTTAATGAATCACAAAAATGTGTGCGTATGTAGGCTTTGGGCTATGTGCATAAATTTGCCTTTTACAACAGCATTTTTCCAATTCCAACTACTCTCAATTCACTTCACATTTCTAGATTAAAATGCTATTAATATGTCATGCATCACAGTGCTATTAGCTTAAGTACTTAACTGCTGATAACAGCTGATTAGCGCGTGTTAAAGTCTACCGTTAAGAAAGCATGGGAAATCGGAGCACGAAATCAAAAGGAATAGAGGGTGACAAAGAAATGGAAGAGTCACAGAGAGGAAGCATCACAGTACGAGTAGCACGATAAATGTGCTCCCCCCCTTTTTTTTTTTAAAGCATTTTAGCAATTAGATCGGCAGGAGCTAAACTCTTGCAGATGTGCAGGGTTTCTGCAGCGACTCAACCAGGGCATACAGCTTCATCATTCATGGGCATTTCCTGTCCGCTGCCCCCAATTAAAATACAGCTGTTCCTGTGCCAGCAGTGAGCTGTGGGAATGAGACAGTATGTATATGTGTGTGTGTGTGTGTGTGTGTGTGTGTGTGTGGTGTACTGTAGAGAAGTTGAGGAAATAAAAAGTGTGCTACACAGTATTTATAGGACCCCTAAAGTTATTTTACCGATCAATTTATTGGTCTGTGACAGCACAATTTCCATGTTTTTGTCATTGCTTACTTTTCATTTTCTAAAAGTTGTGTTTTTTGCAGTTGCTTACTACAAAATAGACAGCATCATTAACTCCATTGAAATACGAACTAGCCGTGATAAGTGGCTGGCTGCACATCATTTATTTGTCCCAAATTTTGGCAAAAGACAGCTGCTTTTCTCATCTTCTGCTTTTTGATTAGCCTTTGAAATGGGACAGCGTTGTCAACCTGTTATCACGGATTCAGCTTCTCAAATTGTGAACTTCAGAAGATCCAGCCCCTGAACTGGGAGGCAGCTCGAGTGTGAACGGTGCTCACTCACCCTCCAGCACGGGATTGGACTGCAGCAGCTGTTCCTTGACCTTATTCACCTCCTGGCCCTTCCCACACACCGCTGCCACATATGACATCACCAGCTTACTGGCCTCTGGAACACACACACACAGACAGACAGATAAATGTTAAGTCGAAGCCTTTGCTAGACATTACTGAAGAACAAGTGTGACGTGCCCACCCATCTCACCATTCCCCATAAAATTCCCCTTACCTCATCCCCCCTGACACCCATCGGGGCAGGGTGGGGATCACTCATTAGTCTGGGGTACAGAGCAGAGGAGGAGGCCTCATATTTGAGACCCACTTTGTTTAGTTAGATGGTGACTATTATTGCATCATGTTATCATCATTCAAATTATTAAGTTCTCTGGGAACCACGACCTGCCTGTTCATCCACTTCTCATGTTAGAACTGAAGCTGATTTGAAAGACTTAGAGAGTGCGCTGGGAGTGACGTGTGCTCCCAAAAAATGTTTTCTGGTTGAGAAACTGAACACAGGCTCAAAAGGGCATCTTGTGCTGTCTGAAACAAGTGACATGCCTTGTAGGATGACTGCTGGCATCAAGATCATCTCTCCTGTCCAGAGAGATGACAGTGACCCAGAACTGATGATGTGTGTGAAGTGCCAAGGAGGGATAGAAAAGAGCTCGACAGTAGTTGCTGGTACAGACTGCTGATGAGCCTGGCACACGAACTCCAGACATGCTCATACATTTAGGGAAGGTTGAAGAAGATCAAGAGTCACTGCTTTGCTGAGTAACAAGGTATGCACCGCTTTTATCTTCACATTTTTATCTCTCAGGGTAGCAAAATAAACTCTCTTGCAGAGAACAGGAATATGTTATGTCTCCTGTGCGCTATGCTGGCATCCGATAATAATAAATAATGTTTGTAACTCCTATAGAAGCCACAGCAAGACAACCCCCAGCCAGACATGAATGCCAATGACCCATATCGATGGGGTAGGCACATTTTCGATGGCCTTATTCCACTACAAAGCTTTGGGGGCCGATGAGATTAGCAAAATCCAAATTTATCTCCTTGGCTTGGCTGAACAGCCTCTTGGAGTGGGGTTTTTAATATCCATGAGAGGTTGAGAGGGCCCAAATAAAGGCTAGAAACATCAGGCAAAACATGATCTGTCGAACCCTACTGTGCTTTCCTTCGCTTTGTCCTGGGTCTGTCACTGCTTTGGACTATTGAAATTATCACGGTTATTCTGGAAAACTGACAGTCGTATACAGTGTTGACAGCAGCTTTTGTTAAAATGGTTGTGAGGCTTCATGGCTGTTGATGTTTGCTGCCAAAGTTCATGCTACAGAGAAAGTTCATGTCGTGAAATCTGAGCTCCAGCCAGAGATCAATGCACCGATAGTTCAAAACCATCAACAGCATGAAAATGGTAAGTTATATTATCAATACAGCAAAAGGGCACAGGGTACACATGTGCCGTGTTACTATTCATGCAACAAAGGCAGCAGCCCTATCTTTGTGAAAAATTCAAATTGAAGTAAGAATTGAACAGCCATACGGGGAATGGGACGTAAGTATAAGTTTTAACTTTTTGCCGTATGATATTAAAGACTTATATATTCCAACATAGAGACAATGCTGTCATAGTAGGCTTGAACGGTATCTATTTCATTTCACCACGGTGTATGATGGTACAAAACATGAAAGTTGAGCTGTTGGTGATAGAAGAAGTCATTGCATGTGACACTGTCTAACCTACAATGCTCTGTGCCTAATATGCAGCAATGCTTCTTAAACATGTATTGCTGAATCAAAAAAACATATGGCCCATAGCATAATGAATAGATAGGAAATAAGTACCCTTCTCCCGCCTTGCTGGAGAACTGGGTGACACTTGTTGCCACGGCAGATACTGGCACATCAGTGGGCTGAATGTAGATGATGTGCAAACCTATGTGATAGTTAATGTTGATATAATTATTTTTCCAATATTGCCCACCGCTTGATTAAAGCCACATGGCCAGTTTTAATTGGAACCAAATGGACATTGTAATTACAAATCACTCCCACACTGAGGTCTGTAAATCCAGTGTGGTTCATAACAATTTTCTGGGTTTGAAGCAGACAGTGGGATCCCCACCAACATCAAGTCCAGGCACTAGTACAGAACTATAAATGCTTATAGAGAGAAAAAGAAGCATTCGATAAAAGCAGGAATACTAGAATCAATGAGTCAATAAGCGCAAGGGTCGAGATTTATAGTTTTCAGTATGAATGTGCGTCTGTGTCTTTACTGTACAAAAGAGATCATTTGTGATTAGTTTGGTACTGATTTTTGCAGTTTGTGCTCTGCCAACTTAGTACGGCTATTACCTGCGACACAGCACTGCCAAGACCAGGAAATTCCATTCCTCCTGGGTTTCTGTAAGGTATGTGAAACTGCTCCAGAACACGGCCTCGCGATTATAAAAACCAACAGAAATAAAGGACGAGAGACACAGTTGCCTCTAGCATCAGCAGGCTACATTTAGTATTATAGTCAAACGCATAGTCTGCAACAAGCGTTTCAGTTTCTTAACAAGGAAATGTGGATGTTGACTGTAAGAGGAGTGTCAGCACTTGCTGTGACACTTCATGTACCAACATGTTCTCAAAACACTGGCACCAAGCTGCCTTTTAAAAAAGGGTAGATCTGATCTAAATCTGCACTGTGACTTTATACATAACAACCCTTATCTTAAAGCGGCCTTAAGAAATGAGTTTAGACTACACTTCACTAGTAACCTTTTGTTCAACACTACACACAAGAAGAGCTGAACAGACAAGAAGGCCTGATGGTACATTTGAACCCTCCAGGGATTTATTGACCAACTACTGGGTAACTTGTTTACTCTATTCTTGATCATTTAAGGGTTTTATTTTGCCTTGGCTTCTCATAAATTAATAAACTTTCATGTTCATGCTGGGAACAGATGCATTACTAATATCGGTAGCCTTAAGGTGTGTGTTTCTGCCAAGGACATCTGTATGAATATGTGTAACTGTGTATTTGAAACAGGTCGATGCTGGGCCAAAGCGTACATTGCCTGACATCGTGGGTCAAATTTCCTCTGGAATGAACAGACGTTGAGTTGAAAATAGTTAGCATTTGGCCACTCACCGGTTTTCCCAGCCCCACTCTCCCCTGTGATAAGGATGCACTGGTCCTTGTCCTGGTCCCTCAGTGAACGGTAGGCCTCATCTGCCAAAGCATAGCTGAAAGACAAAAAAGCACAAAGTCATAAGTCTTCACGGTAAAGTACATGCCCTCAGCTTACATGATATTGTTTTTTTCCAGGATATTTTGGGGGTGATGTAGAGATAGTTTAGAGAAACATGCTAGTGTGCCAGGCCGCATGGCGTCCATCCTAATCAATACCATGTGGCTTTATTGGAAATTAGGTCGCATCTGTAAGACAGCCACAGCAGCTTAATTTAGCTACACTGGCCGGTTCACATTTGGGATATGGCTTTGATAGTTGGAACACTGGCCATTTCCTACTCCTTTTCCTAAACTTGACTACTACACAAACGCTGCCAAAGCTCCTGCACTGAAAACAAAGAACATTTACATGCTTAATAGCCAATTTTTTCCTCATGGAAACTAATTGTCACATAATAACTTCAGGAGTTTTCCTGTTTCTTTAAAAAAAAAAAAAAAAACATGATTTGAACCAAATCTTATCTAATTATACCCTGGCAGGTGTTTGAATAATGCACTGAGAATGTGAAATAACCCTTGTGGATTATTGAATGATAAAAGAGGAATGCCTATTATAAAATGAAGCCTATTGTCATACATTCCAGGACAGTGATACAATGGGAAAGTAGGACTGATTACTGCAGTTTCACCCCCCACTGAATTCCAGAACAATATATTATTTGTTCTATATAGACAATCCTTTATGATGGTTTGAGAGAAGGGTGTGGATGGTGTGAGGGCAATATTACAATGACAACTTTTTATCTTGTGAGGCACAGTGGTCTATAATTTTAATGTGATACACCCACAAAGAAGTAACACTGAAGGGTGAGGCTGCAACAACAGCTTTTTTACAGCTTCCATTTGGCATGAAAACAGTCGTGTGCATTGCTGCAAGAACCTTGTTCTAACTTTCTCCTCCAGCAGGGCACGAGACTGCAAATTAGACTCTTCGCCTTTCTTCGCCCCCCAATACTTTGGCATTCATTACTCAGGAATTTTTTCCACAGCCAAGTCTAAGATTGGGTGAGTCTAAGAGAAGGTAAAGTGGATTCGACTGTACTCTAAGACCTCCACGATGAGCCCTGCAAGGTTTAAGGAGAGTCTTTTGAGTCCGTCTGTGCTCGTAGACCACCAAAGGAGGGAAACTGGGCTAAACTATTGTTCTGCCATGCTGAGGTGTCCTTGCACAAGTTGATGAATCCCTACCAGCTCTACAGGTGGGTTAAGTCTAAATAGAACTTCATGTTCTTAGCTTCAAAACCATCAAGGGCTTAATCTAACAGCTTTTTAAATCTCAAGCTAAGATCAACATCTTTAAGTTGTATGTTTCACATTGAGTACAGGGTAAATATAGCTTGAGGTAATTTTAGAGGAATGCATCAAAATAGTCTCTCCCTAGTGTCTAATTTGGGCCTTGCCTGGAGGGTGGGGGCACTCCAAGTCTCCCAGGTCTGACTAATACTATTAATCAAGTATTTATATGCACTAAGTGTACTAGACATGAATGCAGGAAGGAATGTCTGACATTTACAGATGCTGACAGAGGTTTTCAAGCAGCACTACCAATGGGCTTTATAGCTGGATCTGAAATGAGGTATCAAACTCTGAACACGGTTGCTGAGGTTACATCAACTTGTAGAAGCAATGTTGTCAGAATCGAGCAAACTGCACTTGGAAATGTATTGTGGCGCCAACCAGCAGGCTGAAGCACTGGTTAGGCAGGGTTCAAAGTGATTTCTAAAGGGAGATGTTCAGGCTGCATTTAAAGCTGTATGCTGAACGGTTATGCAGCATCATTTCAAATTTGATTATTATCTAGTCCAACTTCCACAAATACACCAAGACATGGAAAAAGCAGCTAATGCCTAAAAATGTCTAAATCTAATTTGGGGGGCAGCAACGAATGTATTAGTGGAGTCAATGCGGTGAGGAGCAGAACTTGTAGCATATAATCACACACTGAACTAACACTGACCTCCAATTTGAAAAGTAGCTGATTGCTAGTAAGAAGCCATGACTGAGAGGGGCCCAGAGATGGACAGCCAGATGAATGCATTCCAGGCCACAATACAAAGTTAAAGCTCAAGCTGGCTAATGGAGCTCAGGGTTCTGCACCATCACACATCATTCTGGACCAGAGCCCATGAAGCCCCACAACCAGTTATCTCCCTCATCAGGCCCAGTGTGGCCCTCCACCAACAGGCCCTCAGGAGAGGGGGTACACTAAATTCCTCATTCCTAAATTCATCATAATAAAAAACCCTTGGGGTAAAGCTGCAGTAGTTAGTTAATTCGGCTTGTCAAATTACTTAAAATGTGTACCCTGTGTGGGATTTTGAACGTTAGAGGGACTTTAGAGGGAAGCTTAAATGTTACATTTTTGGTGTCAGTTGTATCAAATAATTTTTTTTCCCCCCTGTCCATCAAAGCACAAGCCTTCCACTCAGAAATCCCCACCCCCACAATCTCGGATCACAGCCCAACCTTCCCTCTCCTGCACACAACCACGTTTGTATGGATGAGACTCGCCACAGCACATTACGTCACTGCTGAAAAGGGCAGCACAGCGCAGCAGATGTCTGCTTTGTGAAAACACTCCTGTTGCCTGACCTGATCCTGACAATGAGCAAAGCATCACACAATTATCTCGCCCCCAGAGGAGGCCAATGGGGGGAGTGTACCAGATGAAGGTGAGGGATGTAGAATAGGAGTGGGAGGTCCTTTGCCAGGCACCCACCCAGTAACCCCCCCCCTCCCCCGACACACACACAGAGCTAGTCATATGAATATGAATGGCCATCACATAATCACAATATGAATAGAAATCAGGAGAACCGGGGGGCCACACCCAAAATTGCAGATAATGTACAAGTTTAAATCTTTAACATTTAAAAGAAAAAAAAAAATCCAAGCCACAACTAACTTCTCACAAGAACCTAAATCTGTATTTTTATTCCAACATACAAAAGAAGGAAAAACACGGCAGAATTAAAAATAATGTACACCCCTGTGGCTAGAACACTGTGCTATCATTGGGACCATGAAAGCAGTATGAAAAGTAACTGGCTGTACCACTTCACAAATGTGGAAATCAAATGATGATGATGAAGCACCAAGGTCACCATCAAAGGCAGAGGAAGCAGTGAGTGAGGCACCAAAATCCCAAAGGCCTCCCTGATCAGTGTGCAGAGCTGGGTGTGCGGGGTTAGGCTGGGATAAGGCCTTGGATCATAAGTGCTGCTTGGCACCTCCCCTTCACATCTGCCTGCAGGCTGTAATTTGGGCTTGCACGTGGCAGCGGTGAACACAAAGCCACACTGGCATGAGGTAAGCAGTAGAAAATAGTCTAGTCAGTTCTTTTTACTACCAACCTCTGGTAACTGGGGCACAGGAGGAGATGATGGGCTTGCAGTGTGTGACCTGAATCTTAAAAGGGTGGAGTACTTTGAGGGCAGATTCAGTACACTTTAAAGTCATGATTTGTGGATGCTAATAAAGCTGTAATGTATGGGCTGGAGCGTAGCCCACCCAGCTACTGGGAGATGACAGGGCTTTTGCAAACAATAATAATCCTTCTCAGAGAGTTAGCCATTAGGGATCGAATTATATGTTTTTGGCAGGACCAATGCAGATACCCATTGTTAGTAATAAAAGGAAACCAAAAACCGATTTGGAGCATTATACATTTAAAAAAAATTTAAATCTTAGTGTCAAATTTTTGAATAAATGGTGGAGTGTGACTAAGTACATTTGCTCAAGTAGTGTACTTAAGTACATATTTGAGCAGCATCCAGTATTGCTAGTCTGTTACTCAAGATGTGTAAACAATCAGATCATCAGCTGTGGATAAAAGATCTGGGACATTGAATGAGAATCCCAAAGACAGAGAGAGAGGGTACATCAGAGCCAAAGTGGCCCATTTTTGAATTAATTTATTTTATTTTATTAATCAGATCTGAAAAAAAATTACAATACTGATCCAATACACTCCACTGATAATCAGTCTATAATCATTAGCCACTTCTGCATTCTGATACACAGCACATTTACATCGTCCTTTAAAAAAGTAAAATAACAATAAAAAGACAACTTTGTTCACTTTCCAGGCCTAAAATGGGTAAACTCTGTTCAGTACTTTGATGCTAAATCCAGCTATTATTCTATTGAGTGTTTGTATGCATGGGGGGGGCAGTACAGTTGCCTGTGATCTCAGTGTGATCTGGCTCCTCCAGAGGCCACAGGAAATCCGCCTGGCGCTGATGGAGCAGCCAAGGAAGCAACCCTTTCCTGATGCTTTATGACCAGGTGGAAGAGTGGGTGGCTGTTATAAGTTATACACACACACACACACAACACACATATTTCTTGCATAAATTCAGTACAGTGGCATGCATTCAGAGATTGTTGGCGAACCTGCTGGTGTGGGTGGGCAGGGAGCAGATACACACAGATAAAAGATCTGGGTTATGACAGATGTGGCCCATCTGTGTACTGGTTAAGACAACGTGTGGCTGTAACAGGTGGTTAGGAGAAGATCAGCACACAGGGCAAGAATCTAGCAAATATCTGACTCAACGTCTCGTATTCAAAAAGATGCCTCTCAATGTGCAACTTACAAGGTGCAATAAAAAAAATACATCTAACTCCTTAAATTAAAAGCCCAGAGTGAAGTACGGCTGCCACAGATCTCTAATTTATTCAGCACTCAGTAGAGGTTGTGTGAGACCTCTGCTAAATTACTCATTGATACTCCCCCACCCATACATCAAACTTCGAGGGGGTCCAAGGCTTTAATTTACTTTGCTGCACAGCAATTTAGTGTTCCACAGCAGGGGAAAACACAGACTCAAGTTGTTTGTCTGATCCTTGGAAAAGCAGGAAATAAGCACGCTGAGTAAGGTAGCAAAACATCCTCAAAGCAAAACTCAAACAAAGACTCTTCTGAGCCTCTTTTAGAGGATGTATTTGAATCAGCATGCAGCATAAGTAAACCCAGAATATTAAAATGACG